AGACCGCGCCAGATTCAAAGGGCTGGATTATTCACTCAGGTGCTGCATTGAGATCAGCTGCTCTACTTGATGCTACCGGCTCCACTCCTCTCCCGACCTCGGCTTGTAAACAGATTTCTACCTTCTCCACTTCTCGACCTCGGCTTGTAAAACGGACTTCTACCTTCTCCACTCCCAGACCTCGGCTAGTAAAAACGGACTTCTACCTTCTCCACTCCCAGACCTCGGCTAGTAAAAACGGACTTCCTTACTCTCCACTCCTAACGCTCAGCTTATTAATAGAGACTCCTAATTTCTCCTCCATTGGGTGAATTAACCCTTCCATTGCCAGAACTGCCTCTAAGTTAAGTAAACCTTTTTGCCAAGGAAACCAATTCATATTAATTAATTTATACAGTATTTAAATTTCACTAAAATTCTCTCTTGTCAATAAGGGATTGCTACTAAGTCTAATTCTTCCTGCAAATATCAATTTATTCTAATTGCAAGCCTGTCCAGCTTCATTAACATAATTTTCATAAATCATTCCATCTTAATTAAGTTGGAACTAGCATTGCATTTCTTCCCTGCATGTGTATTTAAAGATACAGTCAACCTTGTTCACTTCAATATAAAAGGAGGTGAAACTTATTGTTTCTGCAGTTGAGTTCCAATTAAAGAAGTATTACAAATAAGTATCACAGAATAATCCAGCCAATTTCAATGGAACCAGCAGATATTAACTCACAAGTTTCTGCCCTAACCAATAGAGTGGATACGATTGCTCAAGGGTTACAGGAACTGCAAATCACGAATGAGAGAATATTAACCTATGTTAGAGACATGCAAGGCCATCTTCCTCATGCCGCTCTTCAATTGGCTGGTGATCCTGCTGTCTGTAATCCAGAAAAATTTTATGGAGATAGAACAAAGTACAGAGAGTTTTTGAATTCTTGCAAACTTCTGATAGCTTTAAAACCTAGATCTTATCTCACTGAAAGATCAAAAGTTTGTTCAGTAATTTCTTTTTTAAGAGGTGAGCCTATGGCATGGGCTCATTCCTTTTTAGAGAATGATGATCCCATATTAGATTCATTGGATGAATTCTTTGAAGCTATGTCTTTATTATATGAAGATCCTTATAAACAGGCTACTGCTGATTTAAACATCAGAACTCTCCACCAAAAGAACAGACCTGTTGAAGATTATATTGCAGAATTTAAAAGATGGGCTACAGAAACCCAATGGAATGACATCACTCTACGCAATCAATTCCGTCTCGGATTATCAGAAGCTGTGAAAGATGAACTCTCTCGTACTGAACTTCCTCCCACCCTAAATGCATTGATTCAACTTTCCATTAGTATTGACAGACGTCTAAGAGAAAGAAGGGCTGAAAAAGTTCACACTACTTCTAACTGGAGAAAACATTTTACTTCTCCAAAAATTCCTGAAAAATTTCTTCCTCAAAATGAACCTATGGAAGTTGGTATAATAAGAAGTCCTCTTACTTCTGAAGAAAGAATAAGAAGGAGACAACTAAACCTGTGTATGTATTGTGCTTCAAAAGAACATCTAATTCCAGAATGTCCTCTACTTAAACATTCAAAAGCTGGTAAGCTTCATTCATCTACCTCTATATTGAACGTTCTTCAAAAAAGAAAAACATCTACTTATTTTTCTATATCTCTCATATTACAGTGGGATACAAAAAGAATCGTGACTGAAGCCATTATTGATTCTGGTGCTAATGGAACCTTCCTTGATTTTTCTTTTGTTACAAAGAATAAAATTCCTTGTGTTCGAAAAACCAACTTTGTTCCAATCAGAGTTATTGATGGTTCATTTATATCCTCAGGACCCATAAAAGATGAGACAATTCCTCTAAGAATGATTACCAACAACGTACATACCGAATTTCTTACATTTGATGTTATTAAATCTCCACTTTATCCTGTCATTCTAGGAATTAATTGGTTAAAAACCCATGATCCTCTAATTAAATGGTCACCCTTCTCCATTTCCTTTTCTTCTGATTTCTGTAAAAAAACCTGCTTACAACATATTCCTATTCTCCAAACTACTCAAGAATCAGTTATACCTCCATTCTACTCTGATTTTGCAGATGTCTTTTGTAAAAAAGAAGCGGAAACACTTCCACCTCATCGAGTATATGATTGCCCAATAGATCTAATACCCGGTGCTCCTATTCCTTATGGTCACATTTATCCACTTTCTGAAAAGGAATTGCAGACCTTAAAAGAATATCTTAATGAAAATTTACGTAAAGGATTCATCAGACCCTCGACCTCCCCGGCTGCCTCTAGTATATTCTTTGTGAGGAATAAGGACCAAACCATCCGTCCCATTATAGATTACAGAGCCTTAAATAAAATAACCATAAAAAATCGTTATCCTCTTCCTCTAATAAATGAATTACTTGAAAGATTAAGGACTGCAACTATATTCACTAAATTCGACCTCCGAGGAGCATATAACCTCATTAGAATAAAACAGGATGATGAATGGAAGACCGCCTTCCGGACTAAATATGGTCTCTACGAATATCTAGTGATGCCTTTTGGGCTTTGTAATGCCCCTGCAACATTTCAACATTTTATAAATGATATCTTTAGAGATCTTTTGGATGTCTGTGTTATTATCTATTTAGATGATATCTTAATATATTCTAACAATTTGTATGAACATAGGAAGCATGTAAGATGGGTTCTATCTAGACTGAGAACTCACAAATTATACGCTAAACCAGAGAAATGTCTTTTTGAAGTTACTAAACTCTCCTTTCTTGGATACATTATTTCACCTCATTCTCTGAAAATGGATAACTCCAAAATCGAATGTATTATTAACTGGCCCGTTCCTACTACTACAAAAGAATTGCAACGATTTCTTGGATTTGCAAACTTCTATAGGAAATTTATTAGAAACTATTCAGAGGTATCTCATCCACTTAACCTTCTTAACAGTACAAAACGTCCTTTCAAGTGGAGTAAAGATGCACAAGCTGCCTTTGACAGATTAAAAAAAAGATTTACAACTGCACCTATTCTACAACTACCTAATCCAACATTCTTATATGTCCTTGAAGTCGATGCATCAGATACAGCTATCGGAGCAGTTCTTTCTCAACAAAAGACTCCTCAAGATCCACTTCATCCAGTTGCCTTCTTCTCAAGATCCTTGAGCTCTGCTGAAAAAAATTATCCTATTGGTGAAAAAGAATTATTAAGTGTTAAAGCTGCCTTCGAAAATTGGCGTCATCTTCTAGAAGATACAAAACAACCTATAATAGTTTATACAGACCATAAAAATCTTGAATATCTCTATACTAACAAAACCCTTACGGCTAGACAAGTTAGATGGAACCTATTTTTTAACCGATTTAACTTCCAATTAATATACAGACCTGGAACTAGGAATAAAAAGGCTGACGCTCTTTCTCGAATTCCTTCTAAAACTACTATTGATGTTTATCCCCCTAACAAAATAATAGGGATCCTCTCTTCTCTTCAGGATGACATAAAGAATTTGAATCACAAGGATCTTGAACTTCCCAAAACGCCTAATTTGACAAAACAGGATGGTATATTTTACTTTAAAAATAGAATTTATATTCCTCCCATTCTTAGGAACAAATTACTTAAGATGGTTCATGATTCACCCCTAGCTGGACATCCTGGAATAAAGAAAACTCTTGAACTAACTTCACGATATTATTGGTGGCCTCGCCAAGATAAAACCATTGAATTATATGTCAAAACTTGTCCTATCTGTCAAAGGTCCAAATCTGAACATAATCAACCTTTCGGATTACTACTTAACTTACCCATTCCAGAAAAACCTTGGCAATCCATTTCTATGGATTTTCTCGTTGACCTTCCACCATCTCGACATTTCACCACTATTCTTGTTGTTGTGGACCGCTTCACAAAAATGTCCCATTTCATCTCTTTAAAAAAATTACCCTCCTCCGTAGAATTGTCCAAAGTCTTTATTGATAATATTATAAAACTCCATGGTCTTCCAGAAGAAATTATTTCTGATAGGGGGACACAATTTACCTCCAAATTCTGGAAGGAGATGTGTCTCTCTCTTCAAATTCAACGCAAACTCTCTTCCGCCTATCATCCCCAAACTAATGGGCAAACAGAGAGAGTTAATCAATGTTTGGAACAATATCTCCGATGTTATTGTTCATACCTGCAAGATGACTGGACCACATGGTTACCTATGGCTGAATTTTCTTACAACAATACCATTCATTCTAGTACGAAAATGACTCCTTTCTTCTCCAACTATGGTTTTCATCCGTCCTCATTTCCCATCCAAACTATTACTTCATCCAATCCTACGGTTACATCAAAAAATGAATTTATGTCCTCTCTATTCCTCAAATTACGGGAGAATCTTCAACTCGCTCATAACTACCAGAAAAAGTTTTTTGACAATAAAAGAAGAATTCCCCCTCCTTACAAAGTAGGGGATCTTGTCTGGCTCTCTTCAAAAATATTACCACTAACCGTCCTTCAAAGAAATTGAGCTCTCTTTTTCTTGGTCCTTTTCAAATAATTACAATTATCAATGATAACGTTGTTAAATTAAAACTTCCTCCAAGTTTTAAACTTCATCCAGTATTCCATGTCTCTCTTCTTAAACCACACATCCCTGATCCTTTTCATAGAGAAATAGTTACAACTCCTGAACCTATCATCGTCCAAGGTGAAGAAGAATATGAAATACACAAGATTTTGGATTCACGTGTCCACCGTGGCACCTTACAATACCTTATTAGATGTAAAGGTTTTTTTTTTTTTATAAATTTCTTTATTAGAGGTATGTTGATTGCGGCAATGTTACATTAGTTTTCCATAGAACAACAGGATCATGTAATATGCACAACATTCAATGTCCAGAAACATTATTCAAACAAGTTTTTTTTTTTGTTTTTTTTTTGTGTTTCCCATCCTTCTATCTTATTTCCTCCTTTTCCCTTCATACATTCCTATACCCTAGTTCCCTATCTGAAAAAATGTTTTTGGTAGTCGCGAGATGTAGATAATATGGCTATTATGATAGAATAAGAACAATAACAGCGTATTAATACAATAAGCCTCCGGGTACCTAATATAGGTGGGAGCTTGATTCGACATAAAGTATAAGTTAAGCGTTTGGAGACTAGAGTGTCCCTAGGACCATTACCTATGGCAAAGCTCGTGCGTTGTTAGGGTATCTCCATGTCCCAACCATGTTGTCTAAAGCCCTGTCGCTAACTAGTGTGTGGTAAGTGTCGAGATTCTGAGTGTGTGTGTGTGGCAACACCCGTGTGTGAAGATGTGAGATGTGCGGCTATCGGCCGTTAATCATCGCTAACTATCCGCCTAAGCGCCGGACCACCTGGCCACAGGGTGTCCCGGGGTACCGCGTCTAGGCTTACCGTGCAACGTGCATGGTCCGTGATCATCTATGAATGTACATCTTTCTTCCCTGACTTTCAATAGTATCGTGTATCGTCTGCTTGTCTACAGTTAGCACCTTCGGCCCCGAATCCGATCCCTACGTGCAGGTAGACGGGGGAAAGAAGGGGTAAAAGTAGGGGATAGTTGTTAATCAAGTTACAGGGGGGTGTTGGTCCCTCCAGCAAGGTCCGCACCGGCCCGCTCCCCAACAGAGGGCCCCGGCGCGTCTCCGTCCCCGCGGCAGCGGGAGATGTATAAGAACCACGGCGTCCACCGCTCTGCGTGCCCAGTTCCTCGTCCCGTCAAAACAGCATGTGCTTCTTCTGCTTCGTGAATGTCTTCCACTCTGCTGATCCACTCTTTTTTGGTGGGGATTTCGGTTCGTTTCCAGTGGGCTGGGATGTTGGCCTTGGCAGCATTGAGCAGGTGACGTAGTATCGATTTCTTATATGAGGAAATGGATTGGGTCGAGATATGTAGTAATGCCAATTCCGCGGACCATTCTGGTTGTTCTCCCAGGATGAGTTCAACTGTTTCCCTAATCATTTCCCAGTAAGGGGTAATTGCTCTGCACTCCCACCAGATATGTAGTACAGTACCGCGTGCTTCCTGACATCTCCAACACTCTGGGGGGATCGAGGGGAATATACGGTGCAGTAAAGTCGGCGTTCTATACCATAATGAGAGCAATTTATAATTCACTTCTTGGTAATACGAGCTCATAGAACTCTTGTGCTGCCAGAGCAATGCAGCATCCCATTGCTGTGTCGTGAGTGTTGTCCCCAGTTGTCCTTCCCATTGCCGTTTGAACGTCACCGCTGCCGGTGTCCCTCCGACTAGTAGATGTTGATATAGTGCCGAAAGCGCGTGTTCAAGCGTAGCACCCCGGTCGCAGAGATCCTCAAACCACGTGAGGTCCCTGTGCAGTTGAGTCTTGTGTGGTAGTGAATTATAGAAATGTTTCAGTTGAAGATATCGAAACTGGAGGAGGGGGGTCCGAGGTCTGTCACCCAACATCGTGGAAAGGTCCTGCAGATTCCCGTCTGCTAGGGCCATATGTATGGGTATGTATGAGCCATTACCTTGGATGGGTAACGCTTCGGGAGGGAGACCTCCCCCTACGTCCGTGTTATGAGTAATCGGCAGCATCGGACTGGGTACAGGGGATATGTGGTCCTGCGTCCTCAGCTTCCTCCACTCTTGTAAGGTCTGTAGGATCAGTCCTTCTTCGGCAAGGGGAGCCGACGATCCCCCAGGGCCTCCCCAGATCTTTGTCTCCAGCGTCTGGCCGGCCAGGCCCCTGTCAAGTTCAACCCATTGTTTGGGCGTCTGCGTGGAGTGCCAATCCAAGACACGTTGCATGACCGCTGCCTGTTGATATTTCTTAAAATCTGGAAGTGCTAGCCCTCCGTAGAGTCTAGGTCGGCAAATGATGTCATGTCGGATCCTAGATCGTCCTCCCCGCCAGATAAATTTGATTACTGCTGTTTTCAAGGTAGAGAAGAAGGTCGACGGGAGTGCGAGAGGTATAGTCTGCATGAGATACAGGATCCTCGGGAGAATATTCATTTTTATCACCGCAACTCGCCCGTGCCAGGTGATATGCGGGTAGGACCATCTGGACAAGTCTGCGAGTATGTTCTTCAGTAGGGGTGTAAAGTTGTGTTGGTAAATATCTCCCGGGTCCACAGTCGCCCAGATGCCCAGGTATTTCATCTTGTCACGGCACCAGTGGAACTCGAATTCTGGTTCCAGGGATTGGAATTCATCCGTCGGGAGTGTCAAATTCAGGACCTCGCATTTCGAGATATTAAGCTTGAAACCGGATATCTGTCCGAATCTGTCAAATTCGGAGAGGAGACATGGTAGGGTGATCCTGGGGTTGCGGACAAAGAAAAGGAGATCGTCTGCGTATGCAGCAACCTTATGATGGGCTCCCTGCCATTCATAACCCTGTACGTCCGGGTTTTGGCGTATCGCCTGTAGCAGTGGCTCCAAGGTCATTGCGAACAGCAGAGGCGAGAGTGGGCATCCCTGTCGGGTACCGTTGTTAATCGCGAAGTCCTCGGTTGTGGCTCCGTTAATCCTTACCGAAGCACGTGGTCTACTGTATATAGCAGATATCCACTTGATGAGTCTCTGGCCGCAGCCCTGCCGTTTCAGGGTCTCCAACATGTATGTCCAGTTGACCCGGTCGAATGCTTTTTCAGCATCTGTTGATAGCAGAAGGAGCCGGGTTCCTGTCTTCCTTGCGTGATGTTGGATAGAGAACAACCTTAGAGTGCTGTCTCTAGCTTCCCGGCCCGGGATGAATCCCGTCTGGTCCGCGTGTATTAAATCGGGGAGTAGATGTTTAAGCCTAGTTGCAAGGACTTTCGTGAACAGCTTAGCATCGACATTCAGCAGTGAGATCGGTCGGTAACTGCTGCATTGTAATGGGTCCTTCCCTGGTTTAAGTATGACCGTGATGGTGGCTGCCAGGGATTCCTTTCCCAGGATCCCTCCGTCGCCTACAGCGTTAAGCGCCTTGGTTAGCCAAGGGAGTAGCACTCCTGAGAAGCTTTTATAGTATCCCGTAGAATAACCATCTGGGCCAGGGGCCTTGCCGGATTTTGATGTCTTCAGGGCTGCGGCTAATTCTTCCACCATGATCGGGGTGTCCAAAAGCGTTGCCGACTCCTGGGCAATCGTGTTAGTGACTGTGCCATCCAGGAAATTCTGTATCTTTGTGCGTTCTCCAGCTGCGTCGGTGGCTCCGTTGGGCGTATACAGATTGTATAAGTGTTCATAGAAAGACCTAAATTCACCGGCTATTTTCTGAGGGAATGGGGAGATCTCTCCCGTGGTCAAGCGAATCTTACGTATCTGTCTATGGGGCAAGGGGCCTTTCAGTAGTCTCGCCAGATATTTACCCCCTTTGTTGGCGTGCACATAATAAAAGCCCTTCGAGCGTTGTACGGATCGGAGATGCCTTTTCAGGATGAGATCTTTAAGTCGTCTCCTGTGCTCCATTAATTCTCCGTATACTGCGTTTAGCTGGGAGCGTTTGTGTTGGCGTTCCAGGGTCGATATAGATCGATATAAGTCAACCATTTCTTGCATGAATGCCTTCCGCTTCTGGGAGGCAATGCGTATGAGAATGCCTCGAAGCACACTTTTGTGGGCTTCCCATACAGAAATCGGAGAAGCCTCCGGGGTATCATTCTCTCCGAAGTATTGTTCCAGTGCTTGTCGGATTTGGTCCTTGGTGCCTGGGTCAAGCAGTAGGGCTTCATTAAGTCTCCAGGTCCACTTCCTCGGTCTGTACAGGGGCGATTCCAATTCTATCCCGACCGATCCATGGTCCGACCAGGTGGCCGTTTCGATCTCTGCTCCGCGTAGGTGGGAAAGGCCTTCCTGTGCAATGAGGATGTAATCTATACGGGAATAACGATTGTGAAGGGCGGAGTAGTAGGTATAGTCTTTCCCCGTGGGGTGAAGTGTCCTCCAACAGTCCACCAGTCTCAGGGCTTCCATGGATTGTCGAATGGAGCTAATGCTGTGTTGTGGAAGGCAGCTATGACCCGTGGAGGAATCCAGCGTTGGGTCCAGGGGGGCGTTGAAGTCGCCTCCTACTAATAGTATCCCGTCCGTGAAGTCTTCCAATTGATGCATGGCGTTGCGGATAAATGGGGCCTGCCTCCGATTGGGCACATAAATAGTCGCAATGGTATATATCTTATCTGCTATGATGCCCTTGAGGAAGAGATATCGTCCCTGTGAGTCTTGAACGCGGTCCAATTCTTTAAATTCCAGTTCCGCAGCTAGTAATATAGCCACTCCAGATTTGTGGGCCGTTGGGTGATTACAGAAGTAGTTATCGGGGTAATGCCTATTCCGTAGTCTAGGAGTAGAACCTTCCTTGAAGTGCGTCTCTTGGAGCATAGCTATAGCCACATGTTTTTTCCTCAATTCCCGTAACAGGTGCGTCCTCCGTTCAGGTATGTTGAGTCCTCTACAATTCTGTGTGATGACCTTTAGGGGTGCGTTACAGTAGGCCATGGTCACTATGTGGGTCGGATACACTCCCGGTGTAATACGGGGTCAGGAGGTTGCACCGTTAGTCCGCTACCGCAGGGAAAGCCACCCGCCCGGGGTGCGGACCGGCACGAACGTGGAGGGAACAAGGAAGAAAGCGGGAGAGGGGGGGAAAGGGAGCGATGGGGAAGGAAAGAGGGGAAAGTGTGTTATAGAAGGGCGCACAAGTAGTAATTTCGGGTCCCCGGGCGCGGGATCAACTGCGCCAAGCAGAGTATGAGAGGAGGTGAGTGTCCCTTTTTGTGGTTACCCCCCAGAGTCCGGTGGGATCCCTAAAGTAGATCTAGAACACTACTACAAAAGAGGGGGGAAGACTCGCGCGGCGACCAGCACCAGCTGGGGCTCGCTCCGGTACCAGCCCAGGAGCCGAGGGACCCTGCCGTCTGGTCACTAACCTCTTGGCACGAGTGTATGTGTTGGAGAACGCGGCTCGAGCTCCACCCAGGTAAGGTTTCGGGGATTAGATACGTGGTTCTCCGCTCCACCTTATCCCCCATGGTCAGGTTCGAATGGATAGCAATAACCTGCGTAAATTGTACAGTTACAATAAAAGCACACTGGTAATAACAACAAATAACGTATTGTCAAACATGGCCCCTGAGGCCGATGAACAGAAAACAGTATAACCCATCATTCCCCAAGTACTCCCTCGAAGAAGGAAGATGCCCACCCATCGTCCACCCACTCTGGTCAATCTAAGTAAACCCTTAGTCCCTTGTCGCTAAATGTTAGCACCCCTGCACCCACCAGCGGTGGGGTTCCCTATGTCGGGGGCCCCTTTGTCCATCCTAAGCGCTCCTCCGGGTTTCTGATCCAATATTTATGTATATCTCATGCGTCATGTGTAGGTCATTCTCCGGCTATGCACCTGTCGGTACTCAAGTGGGGGGTGGGGGGGGGTTCGTATATAAGTAAAACCACAGACGTTCATTTGCCAGTGGGTTGAGTACAGGTATGGATTTATGTGCTCTAAGATAAAAAGACATTACTAGGGAGTCACGTGTGGGCCTAAGCTATAAGTTAGTCCTTCGGAGATATAATTGTTAGTAGGGGGATCTATCGTCTGTCGGGAAAAGTGTATCAGCTCGCCCTATCATTCTAGGGAGCGACATCAGCAAACCAGCGGGGTCTAGTGAGGGAACCACCGGCCCTATGCCAACTAAAGCCTCTGAAATAAAACATTGTGCAAGAGTGTATGCAGCGGTAAACGTGGGTTAGTCAGCGGCATGGTACATTATATGCAGCATTGATATTCAATTCCGTTGCCCTCCAGTTTCCCTCCCCCACCCTCCCCGCGGATAGCAGATAGAACTTTTAAGTGCATATGGTTGGGCTGAGAGTCCTCCTCTGCGGAACAATGACCCCGAACGATAACCGAGGTTAGGGATTCAGGTAAAGTTATGGTTTCCCCTAGGGGCGTTCGTCATGCGCGGCCTGCATCCTCCCTGAGCCCCCCGCCCCAAAACAATGACTGCTTGCTCCTTGCTAGAAACCTCTCATGATGTTATGCTGTTCGGGGGTGGGTGGTGAGGCAAGTGCATACCCCGTGTGGCAGCCTCACAAGTGCATAGTCCCTTTGTGTGTGTCCTTATGCCCACGTCCCCCCGCCCCAAACCCCCTAATCGATAACCCAATGTACCTGGCGGCAATCCACGCACCAAATCTGTTCATCTGGGAGGAGCGGATCTCAGGTAGCAGGGTGTCGGGATAATCATGCCAGGGTCAGTTTCTCCGGGGGGAGACCTCGAGTAAATACCTGGGTGGGTTGCCAAAAGGTCACATGCAGCCATCGTGAGCGTGGGTGGGCCGAGGCGGTTACTCCTCTGGAGCTGTTGGGTCTCCGCGCCGTCCGGTGTGCGGAGCAGGACGAGGTCTCACTTCTCTCTGTCTAGGTCCCCGCTGTGGTCTTGGCTGTGGGCCTAATGGTCCCAATATCCAGTTAGGGACTAGTGGTGTAGGGAGGCCCATTGTTTCCATAAATTGCGGTACCTCTTCAGGCCATCTCAGGGTGAGCCAACTATTCTGGTATCTAGCCATCAGGGCAAAGGGGAAGCCCCACTTGTATTGGATATTTCGGTCTCGCAGAGTCGCAGTAACCGGGCGAAGGGCCCGTCTGGCTTCCAGGGTTATGGGAGATAGATCGTTATAGAGGGCGACTTGAACTCCTCTAAAGGGCCAGGTCTGCCGCTCCCGTGCCTTTACCATAATAGTATTCTTCACTGGGAAGGAGTGTAGGCAGCATATTAGGTCCCGCGGCCCTTCTTCCACATTGCGAGGTCGCAGGGCCCTATGTGCACGCTCAAATTCTATCTCTGGCAGCGGGGTCGGGTGTAATAGGGAGCGGAAGAGTTCCATAAGGATTTCAATTACATTTTCCGACCCTTCTGTTTCTGGCACACCACGAATACGTATATTGCATCTCCTGCCCCTATTGTCCACATCTTCGAGGTGCCGACGCATGGAGAGCAGCATCTCGCCCTGTCTTGCCACTGCTGTGTCAGTAGCTGCCATGCGGGTCGTGAGGGCCGCGTTCGCCTCCTCCACCACAGTGATGCGGCCTGCTTGCGTTGCGAGTTCCGTGCGGATCCCTGCAATCTCCGTCCGCAGGGTTTCCTGGATAGCAGTAGTGTTAGCCTGGAGGTCAGTTTTCGTGACCATGGCTGCTGCCAAGTCCCGCAGGGTGCTTTCAATCCGATCGAGTGTCGGTCCTGAGGTGGATGGTGCCGCCATTTTGGGACTCCCGGAGTCTCCGCTCGTTCCTGTCTGCGGCTGCAGGTAACCGTCCAGCGGGCCCTGTGAGGGGTGCCTTGGGGTCTGGGGCTGCTCCGGGCGTTTAGTGCGCCCCATTAAGTTGGTTATGCGCTGTTTGCGATGCTTTTTAGGGGTCCGGCGGAGCGGAGCTCACTCTTTACGCGGCCATCTTGGTGAGAGCCGGAACCACGCCCCTAGGTACGATTCTTGTGTCTTTCTGATTCCCCTAATCTCACAATTTTCTAAAACTGAAGTAACAAAATCCCACTATTTATCCAACTGGGCAGGTCCAACAGATATGGGTATAGGAACCAATCTCTTACTTACATCTCCATCAGGAGATTGAAGAGTTCTCATATATCTTATTTTTTTGGCACTAAGTGCCATCTGTGCATGATTTTATACTGTATTTCTAACAGATTCAAGCAATGTATGGATTTTTTGAGATGTGGCATAATACTAAACCAGTTGTTTATATCTATTGCATGTCCAAGCTCTCTCTCCCAGCTAATAAGGGCTTTAGAGTTTATCAAATTATCATCAGGGAACTCCAGTAGGTCTTTTTTTAAAATGATTTTTCTATTCGTTATTTTCCCTTCTAATAAATAGTTTTTTTTTGTTTTTATATCAATAACGGTCTTGCTTTCTTTTAGTAAAAAGCCTTTACAGATGGTGGGAAGTTTGACGAAGTTAGTGGAGAGATATGTTGCAGAATATTTTAGAGATTACTATAATAACAGCCAAATGCAGCGCCAATATCTTGTGGTTTTAAATGGTATGTATCATTCTCATTTATTTTATAGATTTTTCTTGTTGCTAGTTTTTTTTTTTTCAATTTACTAGTGAGGAGTTTGTCTGCTTTATTATTTTTATAGTACCAAGTTTAATTTAGTCTTTTTAAATTCGCATTATTTTTTTTTTCCTGGTAAAAGTTTCTTTGATTTTTTAAATTTCTACTAATTTCTTGGTAGTTAAAACCGATGAAACTTGTTTATTTGTTCTTGACAATTGTTCAAATTCTAATAATAACTCTGGAGGTGGAAGTTCACCTTCTCTTCTATCTCTAGACCCCAGCATTATTAAGCGGCCTCATCAGATATCATAATAACCGCATTATGATCGGACCATGTTATATCCAATATATCTATTTTCTCTATCTCTCTCATAAAATGAGCTTCACCTAGGAACATGTCCAATCTAGAATATGAGAAATAAATCTGTGGAAAATATGTGTAGTCCTGTTCATTTGGGAAGAAGGCTCTCCAAAAGTCATATAATGAGTTATCCTTCAGGATTTGTTGGAATTTTCTAGTCTGACTGATTATTTACTACATCTAACATCTTTGGGAAGCCTTTTGTCCGAATCTACATCTAAGATCATGTTGAAATTTCCTGCCACTATCCGTTTACCTTGTTTTACTGTTTCTCCATAGAACATTTTGTGGGGATTTATTTGGGACATACAAATTTACAATCGTGTATAGGTTTCTGTTCAGCCGACATACAACAATTGAACAACTCACTTCTTGGTCTGTGTCTATCATTATTTCTTCATAATTCAGTTTTTCGAAAATCAAAACTACCCTCCTCTTTTTTTTTTTTTTGAGGTAGAGAAGATTCCACTACCATTAAATATCCCTTAATACTAGATTTTTTTGTTATTCCTTTAGACCAGTGAGATTCTTGAATTAAACCAATATCTATGTGCTCTTTATTTAAAGTTTTAGACAAGATAGTTCTTTTAAAGATAGTATTTAGCCCACGAACATTTAATGTCATCCATTTGACCATATTTGGTTCTCAGTCGCTATAGTTGCAAGCTCCCTTTCTGTTCCACATGGCATCTTCCCCTTACAATAAACAAAATATAACATATAATATACATGTGAGAAAAAAACACTCTCTTCGACATGTACTCCCCTATGACAAACAACAAAAAACATATATGACACATAGGGGAAGTGAAACCCCCTCCCCCCCCAGTACTCATGCTTTTCTATAGTACATCAACATTGAAGAACGATATATGGACTCATCATGAATCCAAACCATGGGACTGACGCGTCTATTATCGAGGATACATATATATATAAAAAACAAAAACAGCGAAAGAGGAATTTTTTTTAAAGTTACAAAATCCTATATATACAAACTGGTTCTTCGCTATTGCAATTATTCTACGGACCATCAACCTACTATAATTCTATAATTCGAGCATAGAAAAACAAGGTGGGAGAGGAGAGAGGTAAAGAGAGAAGAAAAGAAGAGAAAACAAAAGTAGAAAAGGAGTTAGACTCTCTCTAAATGTAAAATCTTGTTCCTGATTATTACTCAATTCCAATATATATTATAAAAGAAAGCCATCTCATTCACCTAAATTTTAATATTTCTTTACTTTGTGTATCAGAAAACTCTTAATTTAAATTATAAAGCTTATAGTTATCTATAAGCTATAACCAAGTAATCCATCCATTTGTGAATTCCTTTTTACTTTTGTTACTAGGGTGAGTTCTAAACCTTATATCTTATTTATTAACTCTTTTTCATTTCTCTAATGTCTTTGTGCCCATTTATATTTATATTAACACCTAATGATGTGTGGGAAAAGCAACTATCTTTGTGAATACGTGAATTGATTAGCTTTATAATAGAGATTAAGGATTTTACATAAAGTGCTTCATTAACTCAGTGAAATGTAAAGAGTATCTTACTCTTTTAACTTGATCAGTGTAAACATCTACTTTATTTCTCTCTTTTTCCTTCCCGTCTCGTTTATTTCATATTCCTCTTTACTCCTAGTCCTTTTCTTCCCTCTCTTACCATTATTCCTCTTTCCCCTCGCTCACCCTAATATTAATTAGTGTTTTAGACACTGCATTATTCCCTTAATATGATTTTTACAAAGGAGTAGGATAATAATCTACATGAGAAAAAAATAAAAATTGATAATATCTTTCTTCTTTCCTTTCTTTATATGTTGCTCTTAAGCTCAATTATATCGAATAGCATATGATCTTTCATTTCTCTTTCACAGTTAGAAAAAAAAGTGTCTCTACTTTCTCTTCTCCCTTTGTTTATCTCTCTCTTATTCCCTTCACTTCTCCTTCCTTCTCTTCTCAAATTTATTTTCCCCATCTCCTCTGTTCTTCTTTCTGTATTCATCAGGCTGCATATTTTTCCATCCATAATTTTGCCTCTTCTTGTGTTAGGAAGGATTTTCTTTTACCTTCATCTTGGATTATCAAGCTAGCGGCAAAGCCCCAATTATAAGGGATGTCCTTCTCTCCCATAATCTTTGTAATACATGCAAAAGATCTTCTAAATTGCCTTGTGTAGAAGGATAGATCTTGGAATATCTGGGTATTTTCAAATTTCTTTTCTCTCTCTAGATTCAATTTGTTTGCCCTTGGAACTTCTTCTTTGTGTTTATAAGACTGAAAGAGGGCTATCACGTCCTTTTGAGCCGAGGACGAAACCGATTTTGGTTAAAAGATACGGTGAACACGTTCTATTACCTGGTCTTTTCTTCTAAATTTTATTCCCATATTTTCAAAAAATTCTATAAGGAATTCTTCCAGTCTATCTTGGTGGATATCTTCTGTGATATTTCTGAAGCGTAAGTTTAAGCATCTCGATCTATGTTCTAGCTCAGAAATTTTTAATTCAAGGGTAGGCACTATATTCTCGACTTTGGTAATTTGTTTTTTTGTTCTTTTTATTTGTTTAGAAAGATAAGTTGATTGTTTCTTCCATCTTTTCAACTCTAGAGCTAAGTTCTGTGATAGCGTCCTTAATTCCTTTAAAAATTTTTGGGTTCCCAGATTTTAATTGTTCCAAGAGTTGTGATAGTGCTATCTTTAGATGTTTTGGAGTAACTGCTCCATGTCTTTGTATTGCTGGTGAATTGCTCTGTGACTCTTCTATGTTAATAGATTCAATAATACTCTCTTCTTTAATATTATTTATAGTTGTTCTATAGGTTGATGGGGAAGAATGACGTTCCTATTTTATCATACTTCTTTTTCTGGTCTTGCACCTTAGTTATTTTCTTATCCTTTTTTAGATGTTTCTCAGAAGGTTTTCTATTCCCCATTTTAAGTTGTGTTTAGATTTATGTGCCTAATGAGGAAGAAAGGGAGAAGAAAAAAAAAGGTCTCCAAAATAAAATAATTTTTTTCATCATCCTTCCCTTTAATTCTCTTTTTTTAAACTTCTTTCTTACTTCTTAAGCTTTCCTTACGTTTTAATTCTCTGTCCCTCCCTTACACCCTTTTTCTTCCTTGAACCCTCCTCCTGGTGTTTTTTTTTTTTTTTTTTAGTTCACCTTGATTCACCTTATATAGTTTTCCTTCAGGGGTTTATTATTAATCCATGGAAACAACTAAAGAGTCACATCTACGGATAACCATGATTTGAGTGCTTAACATCTCCAAAAAGAACTCAGATCAGTTCGCTGGTTTGGAATTGCCACCGAGGTACAGTTTTGACCAAATGGCCATGGGGTAGAAGCCCAAAATAGTTCCAGAGAAATCGTGGCAACGGCCGGTCTCAGTTTGAGGGTTGTTATACGAAAACCATATACAATGTGCAAACGCTTTTTTTCTTTTTTCAATTTGACAATTTTTATTTGTTTTGGGGTACAGAAAAAAGAAAGGGAGATTAGGGGGGGAAATGCATATTTCATACATATATTTACATCATATTACATTGTTACACTTCCCCAGGCTCCATCTTGCAAATCAGTTGTTTGTATACATGGGATACTTGACACATTGAGGCACAGCTGCATAAACCAGGCAGTACACAGGTTATACATGTTATCATCGTTGGCCCCCCTTAGTCAGATTCTGTGATATAAATGGGATATGGAATAGGAGTGAACTACATTGTCAAAGTGTAAAACACTGTGTGTCTCTCCTATTAAAGTCTCATAGTGTTTGGTCAGTGTGTAGTGTTGGGCCTGTAGCTATATCCAGGAACTCTGTAGTCAACTTTCACAAGACTGTCTCACTCGCGTGCGTGTTTGTTGCTCTTGTGTGGTAGGAGAAACTATCCTTATGTGGTAGACGGCACCTTAGGGAAGCTAATTCTAAAGGAGCGTTAGAATTATGAGAACCAGAAAGAAATAGGGTAGAGTGGTGTAAAGAAAAAAAAGGGGGGAGGGAGTAGGGTGATTCTGTACTATATACACGTGGGTGTTACTTTTTGTGGCATGCACATGAGTTGAGCAGTAGGCGTAGGAAATGTTCCTGGTGTCGGCAAAATTAATGGGGTGCTCTGGGGAAGAGAGTCTCACTTATTTTTTCACTCATGCTTTTAAGTGTTGAATGCTCCCCCCACACACAGCCATCTTGGGACTCTCTTAAAAACACATTTCATAGTTTTCATTCCCTTTTTTAAAAATTATATTAAATATAATTTGTTTTCATCATATTTGAATACTATAAGATAAGACTTTCTATTACGATAAGACTTTCTATATTTACTTTGCTCTGTTATTATGCTCTCATATTATGTTTTTATGTAAAGTGATTTCTATGTCACATGATCTATGACATCATCTGACCGTTTTATTTGAATTTCAGAGCTATTTAAACCGTGAAGGTCCTCAGCACTGTAATACTTTGAAAAATGCCTTTATACAGGTGAAACATGTTAGTGTGTTTTTAATATTTTAAGCTACTTTTTGATTTAATATCTGTATCCTTGAGGATTTTACCCAGAAGGCTCCATATTCCTTCGTGGGGAACATTCCACCTTTGCTGTTTAGAATTGAGCAATACTTATTTGCTCTTCTTTTGTTAGTATATCATCTTTTATTTATGTATTATTTTAACATTACAGAGAGCAGAATTTTTTGTTTTTATATGTTTTTCTTATATTAATGGAGCACTATCTACTGGCATACTAGAATACATTGAATGTGAGCACCACTATTACCGCTGCTCACCTTACAATGCTAACCACTGGCCTAAAGACACCTCCTCATATAGGACTAGGATCATCTACATATCCACAGATACAGGATTGTATCGTCCAGGCGCAGTGATCTTGAGCTCCAGAAAAGTGTAAGTGCACTTTTTTTTCCACATTTGACATCCTAAATTACTACACTATATTTGGGTTTTGTCCCATCTATTTTTCATATTGCTCCATTGGAACTAAGGACTTCAGTTGTAAGCACTGCTTCCCGTCATTCTCTTATTTATGCTCATCTACGACCAGAAGGAAGAGACTGCTACAAATACAAAGTTCGAGTTGCTACAGATACAAAAAGCAAGCGCCACAAATCTCTCTCTTTCTCACATTGAGATATTCTGTGCGGCTGTATCAGTGTCAGGGTGGCCCCAGTGTCACTGAGTCCTTTTGCCTACTGACCATTTATCTTGACAATTTGTCTATGATGTTCCTGATTATCTCTGGATGCCTGCACTGGGTCTACCTCATGTAGTATCATCCAGTGCTCTTTGGGACAACTTGGCTGTGCTGGGGGTTCCATTTGGAAGCAGTGAGCTGCCACTCTGGGTTTATGTGCTTGTGGTCTGTCCCAGTTTCCATGACTCCTGAGGGGGCAGTTGTGTTTGAAATGCCCTGGCTGGTTGCACCCATGAAACAAGGGGCCAGCACTCCGGAATGGTACTGCTGCAGGTGGAGGTGTCACTAGTGTTGAACAAATCGGTGTTGTGGTTGGCTGAGCATGATAGGGGGGTAGGAAAGGAGGGCAACCTCCTATGTTTTTAGCCCTCCTCCTGTCTTGGTACCCATCTGCCAACTCCTCTGCCTCCTCTACAGTGAGAGGTTTCTGACCTTGATTTTACCTGTCAGAAACTGCAAAAAATATAAATTAGGGAAACTAAAATAAAATGGGAGATCTTTAGAAAAATATTTATAGGATAAAAATCACCCCAAGGGGTTTATGTTTCTTTAAAAAACCCATATTTGATAGGGATGATGTTGACTTTATAGAGATATGGAATTCCATTCTGGAATCCTTCTTCATAAGAATGATAAAAATTATAATTCAACAGAAGTGAAGAAACCTAATTAAATTGGATAAAGAAATTGGTGAAATACAGAAAAAACTAAAATCACTAGAGGATTGTGATGAAATAAAAAATTAACTGAAACAAGTAAAAGAGAAAGTGGAAAAAATGAATAGGAAGTAATTACAATTAAAAAGGAAAAACTTACTAGAGATTAACACGATTACACCTCCAATCAAGTCTTTTGCATGAAAAACATTAAATAACAATAATAATTAATTGCGCCCTAGTACAAACAATAAAGTGCAATATGATGGCCACTTGCATACAGGAAAAACAAGGAGATTTTAAACAAAAAGAAGTAAGAACCCCAAACACCAAACCAATCTAAAATTAGGTAAAAGATAAAAATCAATTCAGAAATAAAAGACCAGAAACAGACTTTATGCATCCTGTGATGGACCGCTTGCCAGCCCGACTGGGTACCTCTGTCAATCGCTGCTTCCTAGTAATCATTGAGTACGATAAGCACCGCACAGGACACCACAAACCGCTGCAGCTTGGTTGGGGTCTCGATGTACAAGACCAGGATCCAGCTTCAAGTAGGGATACCTCTCCTAGTCCAGAGAGCGAAGCAGGCTGCTCTCACAAGAGCAATCATTGTGATCCAAGGGAGTATAGTGATTATAGCAACCCCCAGAGTAAATATAGCTCACCAATCCCCCAAACATGAGCCTAGAGCCATTAAGGGTAAAACGAATCTCTTTAATGGCAGCCACAACTGGCCTTATATGCAGGTCCCCATGCAAGGGGCACTACTCACTGTACCTGAAAGTACACTACAGTAAAAACATATACATGATTACATTGGCTCTCAGGTCCAGGACACTCCCATACAAAATAGGTTAATTACTCCCCTATGCCTGGGAGATAATTGAGTCAGCACTGTATTAAACTCAATTATCTCCAGGCACAGAAAAAAATAATTTTTACAAAACCCCTAAAATACCTTAAAACACACAAAATCCCAACACAAGATACTTCCCCTGATAGCCCTGAACTGTGTGACCAACATATCCAAAAATCACCCAGATTGGTTCAGGGGTTCAGGAATTTCCTTGAAGTCATATTTCGACTGACCGCATGCATGGTCCCATGCCCAAAACAGTTCCAGAGAATTAGGGCTTGCGGTTGGTCTAGTTCGGTAGTTTAAAAAATGAACAAACTACCAAACAGAGTCAATGTTCTTACCCTGAAGCTTGTTCCCCTTGTTTGTGGGAACGTTTCCCCTGTACAGCGCCTTTCTAAGTGATGTAGAACCAAACGCAGGCGATGCTGGAAGTCCAGCAGTGTTCGGGAGTTTCTGTGTCCGTTTTCAGTTCCTTAAGATTCATGCCCAAACACCACTGTCTGCGTTGATGCGAACAAGATGGCTGCTACCTCGTGGTTGTCCATAGGAATTGCAGCCACCTAGATGAACACTTAGAACACTGCGGTGGAAATTGCTACGAAGTAGCAATTAGGCTTAACAAGCTTCAAGGTGGTCTCCGGTTCATACGGCGGTTCGGTTCCTGAACCAAATATAAAATCGTACTAACCAAGTCTGTTCACATAGTTTTTAAAGAGCCCATATTTTTTTGGTAAGAGACTGGCCAGTAGGCCGATCCAAGAACACGTGACAAGACTCAGTTCATCACATATCCAAACCGGTATCAATTACTATTGAGTAATGTGACAGGTGATAAGCAAAGCAATAATGATTCTTTTTCCTCTCCTTTTTAGAACCCAATCGACCAAACCATTGGTGATAGAGAATAGGGAAAAGAACATGGGCACAACAAGAAGGGGAGTTAGAGCAGGAAAACCCCTTCAAAGAAAAGAAAAGGGGGGCTTAAACCAGCAGGAAGTTCCAATTTATCCCGTAAAAAATCTTGATAAAGAATACATTAAAGTTTTAAACAAAGGCCTCATATTTGTCCCCACATGTTTTAATCAGCCTTTTAAAATGTTTATTGATATTCAAAAATTCACTAGGAATTTAAGTCTTAATAATTCATAATTTTCAAAGAATCCCCCTGTAGCGGAGAGCTGATATTCCACAGGTTATCTCCACTCAAGATCCCAGTGAGGCTCAGGAACAAGTATTAAAAATCCATAAAGCAATAATTACAGCAGGCAAGACAATCCAATAATATCCCAATACCAATCCCAATGACTGGACGACACACAGCATCAGGAGCAGAACTGAACTTTTAATCACTCAACCTTCTTTTAAAGCTTTCTCCCATGCAAGGGAGGGATTTACAGTAATTATACAATACACCAATCATACATGAGTTGCAACCCACATATCCTCTCCCCTTAGTATGACTCATAATCCCATTCTGCAGGACACAGTTCCCCTGGTTTTCTGGATGTACCCCTAAACATAGGGGTACCCCTTTAAATATTACATCGGGAAATTCCCGGAGGTAGTAAAAAGACTGGGGTTAACAGCCGAAATGGATTCCATACATTTTGGCCCTGCGGTCGGTCACAGAAAAAGGGAACAAAATGCCTGAACGGCTTGGGTTAAGGAGACTGGGGAGGATTCGGATAAACCCCTTGTTCATGGGTTTCTTTCTACCGAACGGGGAGCCGTTCGGTAGTTTCTACATAAAGTGACGGCAGTGTGGAGGTCTCAGCGGTGTTTGCCTAACTGAGTGTCCGATTTGGGTTCCAGACACTCGATGGCAAAACACCGCTGTTCGGGAGTTTAAGATGGCCGCCGCCACGTGTTCGTCTCCCGAATGGCGGCCACCCAGAGGACAAAGCACACACTGCACTGATTGCCAATTACCTGTTTGCAACATTGTTCCTGGGGTGGTCTGATTGTTCGGTAATTTCACTTGCATAATAACTTGAGTGATTTTACCGAACAATCAGTCGAATGCTGCATACACGTTACATACATATGGCAAAAATTAACCGAAAACATATGAATACACATAATTCTGAGGACAGCCCAATGCCATCTGCTACACTTCCCTCCACAATATAACAAGATGAAAGTTCAGACAATTTTATTCATACACAATTAAAGGAGAGATCTAATTTCTTCCGTAAACAATATAAGAGTGGAGCTATGCAAGTATTTGAGTTTCTAGTTATGAAAGATGTCAAATAAATTTCAAAAAGGAGAAGGTATCGAAATAGTAATATTGGTAATTTTAATGCAAAACAAAGAAATGCCCTTGAAGACCTAAGCAAAGGTAAAGATCTGGTTATTAAAGAAGTGGATAAGGGAAGAGGCATAGGGTTGCAAATAAAGATTACATAAAGGAGATCTATAGACAATTAAATGGTGCAATCACGTACCATTAAAGGATCCAGTAAACCCACTGGGAAGAATTATTGTCTCTGGTGTGGGTTCCCTCCTCAGCCACCTTTTGGAATATGTGGACAAACAACTCCAGCCTCTAGTGACATCTCAACCTGCCTAGTTGAGAGATTCCACCCAAGTCCTGAAGGACCTAGAGAATATTAAGTGGAAGGAGGATCTAATTCTGGTTACTTGTGACGTCAATAGCTTATATACAATTATATCACACAAGCTGGGATTTGAAGCGTTTGAACACTTTTTGGTTTGAGGGAGAGTTTTTCTTTTAGTTATTTAGGAGTGCGATGAGAACCAAGTTCGCACCTAGTTACACCAATTTGTTCATGTCCTTTTGGGAGGAACCCTTCTTGGGCCCAGATGGCGTCTGGAATGCGGACTTGGTTCTCTATCGCAGATATAGTGATAACTTCTTTGTTTGGAAGGGCAGTATGTATCTTTTACAAGAATTTTTCACTAGTTTAAATGGCAACCAAAAGGGCATTATTTTGACTAGTGAATGCAGTTTTAATATGGTACAATTTTTGGATTTGGAAATATATATAGAGAATCAATGTTTTAGGACCAAAACATTTTTCAAGAAGGTCAACATCAATAGTTACATTGATGTAACAAGTTGTCACTACCACCTATGGCTACATAATATACCAAAAGGTCAATACATTTGAATGCAACAGAATTTGAAGCTCAGGCAAATGTATTGACAACTTTTTTTAAAGACAGGAATTATGACGCCGACACTCTTGAAAAACATAAATTAGAAGTACAGGCACTTCATAGAAAACTTAATAGAAAACTTTTGTTTTATAAAAATTTTTTCATGTTAACCAAAATTTACGAATTGGAAATAAAGGTGTCCTTATCATTTTAGATTATAATAAAGATGCCAAACAAATTATATATATTTTTAATAAATGTTGGCATATTTTAAAAACAGACAGGGACCTTAAAGAGATTTTGTGAGACAGACCAAATGTAGAATATAGAGCTAAAAATATGAAAACTAAATTAGTTAAAAGTTTCCTTAAAGACCCATCAAGAGGGAATATGTTTACTTTACCACAGGGTTTCCATCCATGTAAAATGTGCACAGCCTGTAAAAAATCTAAATTTAATAAAACTACGCAAGTACAATTCAAATCCAATGTGCCACAAAAAAGTTTCAAATTCAAGATATATTACCCTGTCATTCCTAGAATGTGATATATCCACTGGTGCCCCTGTAGGTTACAGTATGTGGGTATGACTACACAAAATCTTAAGACACACATGCTGCAACACATGGGGAATATCCAGAGGGGATACACTAAGCACAGCGTGTCAGCTCATTTCTGTCAATCACATAATAGGGACCCTCCCTTCTTAGTTTTATGGCACTTTAAAAAAAAAGACACAACTGGTGGGTTGAGGACAACTTTAGAGAAAGTAAGTGTAAGTAAGTGAATATTCGAAAGTAAGGTGTAAAGTAAGTGAATATTCGAACTTGAAACATTAAGCCCAATTCCAAAATGGATGCACAACGTCCGGTCCATAAAAAAGGAACTATAGAAGCCATACAGGAAGTGGCTTCATAAATACACCGGAAAAGATGTATACACGCGACCAGGAAGGAGCGTTACTCAAAGCACAGAGGAGGAAGTGAAATGGTGTGTCAACAGGTGAGCGGGATATTGATATTAGAAGACCATATATATTTGGACCAGTGAGACATAAGGACATATTTCTCGACTGAGTTTGCTTTTACAAAGACTTATCCATATACTGGTAGTGTATATGTTTACCCACTGTTGGTTTTTACACACTAGTGGATTTTGTTTTTAATTATTTTGTTTTATGCAAAGTTTCTTTGGAACAAATAGCATTGGAAAATCCCCCAAGCAGTTTGTGGATGAGGCTATCGCTGGAATCCTGGCACACTCTTCATCTTTCCAGCCTTGTGCATAAGAGCTTTTCTGGGAAGCTCCCACCCTACCTGAGTAGAATGCTCTCCCCAACTGTTCTGACCTCCGATCCAGTACTAGCATGATATTAAGCATAACACAATACAAAAATAAAGTGGCTCAATCTGCATTTTCCTACAGAGCACCGCAATTATGGAATAACCTCAGGGACACAGTCAAATCTTCATTCAATCTAAAATCTTTTAACAGATCTATGGCAATATACCTCAGCACAGAATTTACCTGTCATGGTTGAATATATTTACCACCTGTTATATGTTAAATTTATATATGTGTATATATATATATATATATATATATATATACCGTATATACTCGAGTATAAGATGAGTTTTTCGGCACATTTTTTGTGCTGAAAAAGCCCCACTTGTCTTATACTCGAGTCAGTGTCTGTATTATGGCAACTTACATTGCCATAATACAGACCAGGACAGCTGGGCTCATTACAAGACCGGCGGTCCTGTTGGGGCTGGGAGCAAGCTGTTACTTACCTTTACAGCAGCTCCGGTCAGCTCCCTTCTCCTCTCTGCCGTTCAGCTCCATTGTAAGTCTCGCGAGAGCCACGGCCGTCAGAGCGTGGCAACGCTCCTCGCGGAATGCAGACAGCGAGATTTACACTGGAGCTGAACGGCATGGAGGAGAAGGGAGCTGAATGGAGCTGCTGTAAAGGTAAGTAACAGCTTGCTCCCACCCCCCCTCCTACACAGCCCATCCACTGGACCACCATGGAATAATATAGCCCTCCTCCCTGGCCATGTATCAAGCAGGGAGGGGGGTCGAAAAAAATAAAAATTGTAATAATATTATAATAAAATAAAAATTTAATAATATTAAAAATAAAAAAATTATTATTAAATTAATAATAATAAAAAAATAATAAAATGCCCACCCCCCACCAAGTTTACACACTCTGCATCACATACACAAACACACTCTGCATCATATACACACACTGCATTCATACACACACACTGCATTCATACACACACACACACACACTGCATTATATACACACACTCTGCATTCATACACACACACACTGCATTCATACACACACACACACTCTGCATTATATACACACGCACACTGCATTCATTATATACACACACTCTGCATTCATTATATACACACACTGTAAATACATATTCAATTAATATAATTTTGGGGGGATCTAATTTTATTTAGAAATTTACCAGTAGCTGCTGCATTTCCCACCCTAGTCTTATACTCTAGTCAATACGTTTTCCCAGTTTTTTGAGGTAAAATTATGGGCCTCGACTTATATTCGGGTCGACTTATACTCGAGTATATACAGTAGTTTGTATATTGTATTTTTGTAATATTGTATCCTATTATAGCAATGCAATGTTTTGTGGACCCAGGACATACTTGAAAACGAGAGAAATCTCAATGTATCCATCCTGGTAAAATATTTAATAAATAAATAATATTTTAAAGACTGCAATCACCCTCTTAAAGTCAGAGGGATGGCAGATTTAAAGGGGTGCACTTTGCAAAACTCCTGATTACATGATGGTAACAAAGTATGATAAACAATTATATTTAATTGGATAAACAAGAACAATTAGAATGGATATTACACATAGTAACTATGACAGTAAGCAAACATAATAAATAGAAAAAATATAAGCTTCCTCAAACAATTTTTGTTTAATTATAGCCTTTCTAATGTGAGATAGAAAGCAAAGTTCTAGTAAGTCAGCAGCAAAAATACCCATGCCTAGGATAAGTACCAGTACAATAAAATGTAATCAGTACATTTAGATTTAAATAACAACATTCTTGCCTAATTATATGACTATTCTTCATCTATAGTACAGGCACAATAGTTATTAATGGGTTTTTTTTTTTTTTTTACTAATAAAGATAATGAAATTCAAATTATAAAATGTAAATGTAGCCAACCATGCATGAAAACTAAATACAATGACTATGCATAAAGACACTGACAGTTAATTTTGAGTAATGACACTCAACAATGGATTTATACTGTCACATAATGTCTTTGGTGATGTTAGTAATAGCAGACAAAATCAGGTAATTGTGACAGAGATTGCAACTGTGCAACTGACACAACCACACAGCCACTAAAGAACACAACCAGTAAAAGTATTAAGAATATAAAATAATTATAAAAAAATATATATATAATATCTGCTGAATGGGATACTTTAGGTGCCAGTGCAACTATATCAATTTCATATATTTTGCCCTAAATAATTATCATTATTGTTTACATGGAGAATTAGGTGCAATTGTGAAAAAAAAACTAAACTAAAGTTTTACAGCATTCTTTATCTTAATGTCTCCTCTTTCTTAACCCTTCTCTCTAACATGCTCCCATCTTGCTGGCTAGTGTATATGTATACTTTTTTCTGTCCCTTCCAATGGGCAATGTCCATTGGCCGGCCAAATCAAGGAAGCATTAAGTAGGGGAGGCGACAAAATATTACTCACAATTGGGATTTTACAGGCCTGATTTCAGATAATACTTGATG